CACAGATGTTGGACAGAGGAGGAAGTTGCAGTCTGGGGGTGAAGCTCCATCTTCATTCAGAGAGAGAGGAGCAGCAGCTTTGCTGAGCAGCAATGGACAGCTTCAGGAGCTCATTGTCCAACTTCCGCATTCGGACAACAGGGAGCTCTGATTGGCAGGAAGACCAGACTCCTTCCGGTCCTCCAAGGATTCCCATTGGTCATTACGTCGGAGGCCGTTTGTGACGACACCTTGTACATGCGCAGTTGCGAAAGTGAGTTCTGGTCCAGGACAGGAAGAGGTGAGTGTGGATCTGTCAATGGGGAGTGGGAGGTATTCGGTGCAGCAGAGTGAAAATGGAGGGAGAATGTGTAGGATGGAGATTTACAGCTTTTGGGGAATGAGAGAGGACATAGATGTTAACAAAACTAGAATTGTCTGTTCTGAATTTCTATCCTGCACTAACAGTGACGATTTTTGTAATCTCCTTCTACAGGAAATTAAACGGGGAGAATTTGTGGGCAGAAATCTCAAAACAAACATCACTTCATGATCTGACAAAGTCATCTGATTTCTAATTTGGACGTGAATATCACCTGACTTGAAACCTAGACAGAGAAATGTTGGAAAAATTCTAAAGATCAGTGTGCTGGGAATTCATTGATCAAGCGAGTGTTTCAGTGAATTGACTGTGGAAAGAGCATAAAGCAGTTGCACAGCCTTATAAGACATTCACAGCGGGAAGAGACACAACATGTGCTCTGCTCATCAAACCTGGAGAGACACAAGGACACCTGCACCATGGAGAAACTGTGGAAATGTGTGAAACATTGGGAACGTATTCCCGACCCCATCTATTGCCAGAAATGCTTGGGTGCAGTCACACGGAGGAGAGGCTATTCATTTTCCTCAAGGTAGGGGAGTTCAAAACTAGGTGGTATATTTTTAAAGTGAGAAGAGAAAGATTTAAAAAGGACACAAGGAGCAACTTTTTGTTTTGCACAGAGAGCAGTTTGTGTGTGGAATGTACTTCCAGAGGAAGTGGTGGATGTAGATACAGTTACAATGTTTAAGAGAAATTTGGATAAGTACGTGAATAAGAAAGGTTTGGAAAGATATGGGCCGAGCGAAGGCGGGTGGGACTAATTTAGTTTGGGAATATGGTTTGCATGGACGAAGCGGTCTGAAGGGTCTGCTTCCGTGCTGTATGACTCTATGACCTGCACCGTGTGTGAGAAGGGATTCGTGCAGTCAAGCCATTTGCTGTTTCACCAGCAAGTTCACACCTGGTAGAGGCCGTTGGTGTGCGGGAATGGATTCCATGATTCGGGCAGCCTTCAGAAGCACGAACCATTCAGCTGCACTGTGTGCGGGAAGGCTTTCGGTCAGTGACCTACCATGTGTGGGACATCAGAGCAGTCACACCAATGAGGGAGCCTACACATGCTCTGATTGCGGGGAGTTGCCTTTAAAACCTTTGAGGGCCTGAGCAGCACCAGCGAGTTTGCACTGAGGAGAGGGCATCCTCCTGCTCTGTCTGTGGGGAGGCATTCACTCAGTTATCCAACATACACCGGCAAGTTCACGAGGGATGGCAGGGATCTGACTCGGCTGTGAGTGACACCCAGGAGTGAACCGTGTTCGTTCTGACAGTGGGTGAAGTGGGAAGGGATGGAGGGGGGGGTTTCTTTCTGCTGGACTGGCTGCTTTCAGTGGGGCTGATAGTCTTTGAGCCGGGACTGCACATTTCCATTGAAATTATCCTAATGAAAGACACTTATTTCATCCTGGACAGTAAATAGTGTTTTTCTGACCACTACAGGTAGATCTAAAATAAATATATTTGTCTCTGATCCATTGAGTCTACAGCACAGGGCCAGGCCAGTCAGTTCAATTAGTCTCTGTCAGTATTTATGTTCCACGTGGGCCTCCACCCATCCCTCTTCATCTCCTCCCCATCAGCATGCCCTTCTATTCCTTTCAACCTCAAGTGTGACCAGCTTCCCCTCAACTGCATTCACTCATGGCTGGTCTTTTTCGTGGACTCAGCTCAACTCACCCGCCCGCTCACCATAGCCCTTAATCTCTTAACTGTTCAAAAATCTATCTTTGCCTTAAAAACATCCAACGAGGTAGCGTCAACTGCTTCATTGGGCAGGGAATTCAATATATTCACAACCCTTTGGGTGGAAAAGTTCCTTCTCAACTCAGTCGTAAATCTGCTATCCCTTATTTTGAGGCTATGCCCCCTAGTTCTAGTTTCACCCCCCCCCCACAATGGAAACAACCTCCCTCCCTTCCTAATTTTATATGTTTCTACAAGATCCCCCACAATGAGTACAGTCCCGGTCTACTGAATCTCTCAGACGGAACACCATTCAATCCTGGATGTGATCAGCAGTGGAATTCAGCCCCACATGTCATTCCTTGTGAGCTCGCTGGTATCTCTGGAGGCCTGAGTGAATCCTTTCCCACGCTTGACCAGGCGAATGGCCTCTCCCCAGTGTGAACCCACTGGTGTGTCAGCAGGCTGGATGAAGCTCTGAATCCTATTCCACACTCCAAGTGGACGAAAGGCCTCTCCCCAGAGTGAATTCACTGGTGTCTCAAAAGGCTGGATAACTGACTAAAACTCCTGTCATAGATGGGGCAGGTGAATGGCCTCTGCCCAGTGTGAACTCGCTGGTGTCTCAGCAGGTTGGATGAATTTATGAATCCCTTCACACATTCTCAGCAAATGAATGGCCTCTCCCAAGTGTGACTGCATCGATGAATCTCCAGATTGAACCTTGAAGCCTATCCCACAGTCCCCACACATCCATGGTTTCTCCATGGTGCAGATCTCCCTGTATCCTCACACATAATTCAGGCTGTGTAACTGGTTAAAGCTCTTTCTACAGTCAGTTCACTGGCACAGTCCCACTTAGGGGTATGTGGTTCAGGGGCTTTCCCTGTTACATTGTTGTTTAAAACATTTTAACCAGGAAAAAAAAACAGGCAAACATTCTTCCTTTTGGATTATGTGCCCGTCTGAGTCAATGTGTCACACATCTGCATGATGGAGGTTTGAGATTTGTCTGTAAATCCTCCTTTTCTGATGCCTTGTAAAAGGAGATCACAAAGACATTACTGTCAGTGCAGGACAGAAATTCGGAGAAGTTGTTATTGAACGAGAATTTCCCGTCTCAGTTCACGAAAACTAATCTCTATTCTATACACTCGATCCATTCTCACTCAGCTGTTCTGAATGGCACACCCTCTCCATTCTCCTGAAGGTGTTAATTCAGGCTGATTGACTGATCTACATTCTCCTATTCCTAACCTGGACAAAAAGATCCAAAATTCTTTATGCAGGGTGCTGGTATATTCATACACACTGACCTGAACTGTGCGTCACTGAGAAGTTACTGTCACTTAGTTGGAGAAACACATTACATGTACACTAAATGCTCAAATTGGTGGTTATGGCAAAGGGTGTGGGTGAGAAAAGAGAGTGTTGTGCTCACAGATGTTGGACAGAGGAGGAAGTTGCAGTCTGGGGGTGAAGCTCCATCTTCATTCAGACAGAGAGGAGCAGCAGCAGCAGCTTTGCTGAGCAGCAATGGGGCAGCTTCAGGAGCTCATTGTCCACCTTCCGCATTCAGACAATGGGGGGTTCTGATTGGCAGGAGGACCAGACTCCTTCCGGTCCTCCAGTGCTCCTCATTGGTCAATCCCCGACACGGCGAACCTTTGACGCACCCTATTGTTGACGTCACAATGCGGATTGCCTTGTGAGTTC